TCCCAAAACCACCCGGGCGAGTTCGGAAGACCCACCGAAAGCGCAGTTCAGAGTCTCTGGCGCACGGGTCTCGGTGGCTGTACATCACCCCCAGTGGGGTCAGGTGCAGCTGCTGGGCCTGGCGCAAAACCCCTGCCGCTGCGGCGAGCCGTTGCCCCGCTTCCGCTGCACGCGCTGCGGAGTACGGCTCTGCGGCAGCGAGTGCCAGCGCCGCGTGGCGACGGTGGGGCGGAGCAGGTGTGGCAGTGGCACTCTGTGCGGGTCCAGGGACTTGTCCGACACTTTTGGGGAGGTGGTCTTGAGATAGTCGACGGACTGGAAACATGTTTCATCGAAATCATTTCATCTTGCCATCGAAATGGCTTAAACTCACGATGGCACTTCGAATCGAATCGAAATCACCTCTTTTTGGAGGTTTTTGGGACCGACTCCTCGAGGCTTCTCGCTTTCTGCGCGGATTAAAGCGGGGCAAAGCGTTCTGCGTCCGTCTCCGGGAATCGGAGGTCAGGTGTACCCTTCCTGGCCTGGAGGTATCAGTCTCAGTGGTCTATAGTTTCCTGATCTGAGAACGAATCGCGGTTTTGGGTCCAATCCCGAATCATGACCTTCATACGGATACATCTTCTCGTCTTTGGCTTTACAAGTTATTTGTGGCGGAACTTGCAGTGAAGAGCGCTACCTACGCTGGAAATGAAGATGCATGGCATAACAGCGACTTGTGTTTGTCAGTCCGCAAGGACAGTTACTGAAGTCACTTCCCTAATGGTCCATTTTTCGTTCGCAGTGTTTGGACTTTCTCGGTACCCGATGGCTGGGCCCACCCATTCCTTTCGGCGACGGCACGGAATTGATCCTCTCAAGGACGGCCCCCGGGTGACTGGAGGACTGGAGCGCCATCCAGAACGGACTTCCTCCGCCCAGTGCGCCGTGGGCGATGCCGAGGCCAGCACTGGATGGAGCATGGCAAGGAGTGCCGCGCAGGCGCGGCAGAGGCGAGAGGGCGAGCAGTGGAAGAAGCATAGCACAGCCCTTTAAATCCCATCAGCGTTGATTTAGGGGTGTTTGCCAAACAACTATATGGTTTTTCTACCAAAAATAGTAAGACCAAGTCAACCTTTCTTGTAAGGCCCTTTGATCGCACAGAGCTGGATTGGTGGAATGTCTGGGAGCTATTTTGGGATTCATCGGAATGTAAACCCTCCTCAACCCCCAGTCCCAACCAGAAACAAGTTGTTCCAATAAGGCGCCAGCTTGAGATCCTTTACATAGGAAATGACTGGGACTGGGTTTCGTTCCATCCATTTCTTTCTGGTTGGGACTGGGTTTTTCCAGGCTCGGGGGTGTCTTCGTTGATCAGCAGTTCACGAAGGCGCTGAAGTTCTGAATTGCCTTGGACTTGGTTCGTGGCCATTCCGACCCTTTGGCATTTTTCAGATGCACCCTTTTAGGAGGTTGAACATTTTAGGATTCACACGGAGACCTCCTGGCCCAAGGGGTTTTGGTCAGACTTTCCCTTCTTCCAGGGGTCTTTCGGAGCCCCAATGATTCTGATACACACACACATATGAGGCAACCTCAAAGTGATAATCAACCACTTTAGTAAGGGACGTTTCATCTCTGTGTTGCTTGTATATAATAATAATGATACTGTACATTGTATATTCAGCGTAGACGCCCAGGGCCTGCACTCCAAAGGTCCAGTTTTGCTCAGGGCTTTCCCTGAAGCTTCTTCGGTGCTCTTAAAGACCGAAAGACCGAGTCGTAAAGCGCCAAACACCGTAGAGCAGAACACGAGCTTTCTGAAGTAGAGCAGCAAGAGGTTTGTCGTCATTCTGACCAACACTCCCGGCCCTAGAGAATCATGTTGGCCCCGCCCCGCATGACATCATTTTTTTGACAGAAACAGGTCGTTTGCCACTTCAGGAAGCGTCAACCTTGTTTTTACATGCGTGTCTCCATCCACGTGCCCCCGCCCCGCATGTCGCTTGGGCGTCGTCGTTGGGCGTCAGGCGTTTCTTCACCCCGAAGACATGCTGGAGGTCGTCCCTGGTGGTCTGGCCGTGCATGTCTTGGGGCGGTCGTGGGGGAGTCTAAGCACGGTTTCAGGATGTTTCAGGCCACTGTCCACGGTGGTGCTGCAAACCGACAGCTCTGGGCAGATGTGTCGATCACCGGATCACCTCAGGATCACCTCTGGCGGCACCGAAACCATCCTTTGAGAGGTTCGAGAACCATTTGGTCGAAGAAAAGAACCCTCCCTCCGCCGCGTTGGACCTTGCCCTTCTCGGAGCTCGGGCTCTCTCTGTTTCAATAGCAGGATGCCTCCGAAAGACATTCCTCCAAGCAGCTGGAGCCTCTGCTGACAGGTAGCTGTTTCCTTTTCAAAAGGGGCAAGACCACTTCGGTTTTGTAGCTGGAGTCAACCCCATTCGTTCCTTTGAAAATGGCTACCAGGTCCTGTTTTGATACGATCATATAGGATCATGTTCCATATTTCTAAGGTACTTGAAGTCACGTTCCAGGTCTTTGAGTAGTCGACAGATGTCGACAGGGCCGGTGCGGTGTGTTCCGCGCGCCCGCGGTGTCCGCCTCGACATGAGTGGGCCTTCGAGAAAGCACCGGTGGCGGTGGCGACCGACACGGCGTTTTCGTGGCCGTCGCGACCCGGTGGCTCCAGCGATGTAAAGATCTTGGGTGGGGGATTCCCGATTCTAGCTCCTTGGCTGCAAAAAGGGCCGGGTGTTTTTTGGAAGAGAGAGAGAGAGCTCTGTTTTTGGGGCCGAAAAGCCATTCTTGCTAAGGCCGCGGAATGCGCAGAAATGCAGCTGAAAGAAAGTCGAACGAGAGTCCAACATCCTTCAATGGGTTCACTTGCGTGTTTGGTGTTGGGGAATTTATGTGATGGATTTTTCCTAATCCGCTTGCTTGGCACTTGCGCTACCTTTTGGAAACACCTCCCATAACCATGCTCACATGGGCTCTCACGGGGCTTAGCACGCGAATGACTCGAAGAACTCGCTTCGCCAGCTGCGACAAAGCTGTGGATTTGCTCACCATGCATTAGAATGGATATGAATGGATACACAATTGTACCCTTTTGTGGGGATCACAAGCAGGGTAGTCTTGAACAGCACAAAAAGGGAGGTTTCACATCCACATCTAGAACTTGTTGGTCAAACACCATAGGTTTGCCCAAACATCCTTCATTTTGCTTGGCAAACGGTCCAAATCCCCGAAGGCCACACGTCCTTATCATCGTCTTGATGAAGCCACCCCTTTATGACGGCTTTTAACATCCCCAAGTGAGCCGCTTTCAAAACTGGCGGTAAAGAACATGGGTCTTTCGGGTCATGTATTCTTTCAAAACTTGCATGGGACCAAGGTTGCGCGCAAGCTTTTCGCAAGGTTCGCGCAAGGCCTTTGGTTTGCGCAAGGTTGCGTAAGCTTCATACTATTGTGCTTGAAGGACTGACTGTTTGTATGACAGACCTTGTATACATTATGACTTAGATTAGTTGTACACTGTTTGGTTCAGAATTTGAACATACGGACATTTTCGCGCAAGGTTTGCGCAAGGTTTGCGCAAGGTCCGCGCAAGGTTCGCGCAAGCCGCAAGTGCCCTAGCCCACCCACTCCCCACAAAGAACGTCAAAAAGCGGGACTCGAAGAAAAGCGAAAAGCTCACTAACGCATCTTCCATCTAAACTAACTATTGTCAGAGCTCGGTCGTCTACGTGCCTCCTAGCTCCACTTCGCCTTCCTCATGTTCATTTGCCAAGTGATTCTGCTCGGAACGTCCGAATAGAACGGTCTCATTCACATGTAGCTTGCGAGGAACTTCCATGTTCCAGCTAGCTCGGGCATACACCGCGCAAGCAACAACGCACGAAAAATAGCAACAGCTATTTCAGCGCAAGCTCGCGCAAGCAAATGTTGAAGATAAGCCCCTGCGCAAGCTCTCACTGTGGTCGCGTAAGCATGGCGCAAGGTTTTCGCGCAAGAGTTTATAATTATCCTTGTGATTTTATAAGGAGGCTTTGAACACTGCTGAAGGTCATCAGACTTGGCCTTACATGCCTCACCATCTGCATCCTCCTCCAGCGCCTGTCACCCACATGTTGTCCGCCTTTGACGCCGGCCGAGGCGGCGCTAGAGAGACGGGAGCAGCGAGAACCTTTGAAAGGCGCCCGTCGCTGTCAGCGAGCACAGTGCCTTGGTGGAGACGCCCTGACTTGGCACGAAATGCCGTCAGTGTGGGTCGAAGCGTCGAAGCGTCTCGGGTCGACATCGTCGGGTCTCGACGGGTCGAGCTACACCTTATACTACCACTGCTTGCGAACGGGACCGCCGTTTCAGGGCAGATGCGGGGAGGTGCCATTCTTCAATAAGGGAAACACCCCTTCTCGCCCCCTTTCTCTGGTACAGACGGGTCTGCCCTAACACCACCGAACCGCAGAAAAGGGGGGGGGGAGTCGACCAGCTCCTGATCGCGAACCCACGATGCCTCCCCAAACACCCGCTGCGCACCGACTGCACCAGGTCGGTTTGGTCGACGCGTGACGCGCCTGACGACGTGCCGTCCGTGTCGGTCGACGTGAGACGCGGAGCGCTCGACTCGCGGAGCGCTCGACTCGCGCTTCGCACTCTGAGGCGGCGTAGCTCCTGCTCACACTCGGCAGCAAGACAATGGAAGCAGATTCATGGCAATTCAGAAGCTGATGCAAAATCAGAATGGCAGAGTAGAACAGATGAAGCACTGTTACCTAGTAACTTCAACATAGTTGAACCGAGTCTTTTGAGCCATGCCCTAACTTTTCAAGTGCCCCCCGCACCATCTTTTGAGCCACGAAAGTGAGCTGAAATTTTGGAACAGCTACTAAGTGGTCAAGAGCTTCAACACGGTTTTTGCGGGAGCGCAGCAACACCGGGTTTCCCCCACCTGCACAGCCCGCTGGACGCTTTGGAAGCGGCTTTGAACGCTTTGGAAGACCGAACTCACCATGGTGAAAATGAGGACCGACCGGTCGCGGTGTCCAACCCGTCGCGTTGTGTGGAGAGGGCACGTGAAGGGAAGATGATTGGAAGCGTTCACAGCTGTTTGGCCTTCATATACAGTATACTCAGTACCCAACTGCACCTTACATCAGACCCATGGTCCCAAGGTTACTCTTCAAACAAGAACGTTCTTGGCTCTTTTCAGCTACACTTGAAAGCATCTGCTACAGCAAATGTCGTGAAATGGCGTGGAAGGTGTCGGAAGGTGTGCCAAACTTCGGAGCCCCCGGCGGACCCCAAACGCACCCACTTCACAGATAGGCACTCATAGACCCGCTGGGCTAGAGTCAGAGCAAGTTCGTAACCTCTTCATCCGGCTCAAGTGGTCGCTCGTGTGAACGCCGAATTCCGAGCCACCACTTGTTGCTCCACCGCTCCAAGCCGGTCGGTTCCCCGTTCCGCGGCTTTCCACCACGGCCGGCCCGGGGCGCCGGGCGCTCGCGCGCTGCACCGGCCTCGGTGGAAGGACATGGCTTAAAGGCCTCGTCAAGGGTACTTCGGAAGAGGCCCATGGATCCGATCGGATGCGCATCGACCGGAACAAAACACTTGCATCGAGGGCCTGGCGGGCTGGCTCGGGGCTGGCGGTTTTAGATAGGTTTGAGGATGTCCAGCAACAACAACAGCAAGAACAAGAACAAGAACAAGAACAAGCAGAATAACACCAATTAACAAGAAACACGACAAAAAGAATGTTAATGAAGAATGCAAAGAGCACGAAGAATAGCATAATACCCAGACACTCCATGTATGGTATATATAATATATATATATATACAGGGACACCTTTTCAACCACCCCAATGTATGTCATGCCAGTCCGGTTGTGTTTGGTGGTTTCAAAAGCCTCTCCTTTCCGCAGCATAGCCATGAATAGCATATATATATATACCCTGGGAGTCAAAGACTATCAAAAAGAATGGTCTTTAGGCGACCCGAAAAGGAATATGCTTTACTTCAGTGGGGCCAAATATAGTTTTTGGACTTCTAGGGTATATATAATAAGTACTCCCAACCAAACCGACTCTCAGCTTTGCCACCGGGTCCCGTCACGGACGCCGCGTTCACGGCGTGAAGCATCCAGGTGAAGTCCGGGACCGCCCAACGAGCATCTTCAGCCGCAGGCCGAGACGGGCGAAGTCCGGGTCCGTCAGGGCGGGTGGTCCGCGTGGTTGTCCCCCCCGGTGGCTTTGGATGGAAACGGGGGAAAAGACGGACGACCAGGACCCGCAAGACCTGCAGGACCCGCAAGGGGTGGTGAAATAGGACACCCCTTAGCGGAAAACCTCTTTGGGGAGCTATTCAATAGAATTTCCTGGTCCGGGTGTGCTGGTAAGGCCGTGGTGAAAGATCTGGATCAGATCTGGCAGAATGGATCTGTCGCAAGGACAGAGGTGCAAGGTTGCAGCCCTGCCCAGAATTCTTAAGGTCCCAGCAAATGGGCCCTGCAGAGGTGTTTCCTCTGCTAAGAGAGGTTGAGAAACCCTACAGTGGTATATATGTCCCATCGGTGGAAAATGGGCTGTTCAACCTTTCTAGGCTCGGATGGGAACTCGGAGGATTCTTGGGAGAAAAGGCACCAGCGACGACGGCCGACATCCTCAGAGACGAGACGTCGACGTGTGCAGCTCCGTCGTCGACAGACTCGACGTTTTACGTGTGCAGCTCGTCGTCGACATGGTGGGAGATTTTACCCTTATAGTGGATTTTATTTACCCTAGCAGGTGGAGTAAAATGAATCACTGAAAGTTCTGGGTAAGCTACCTGAACCTACCTTCCACCCGCACCTGGATTTTCCACACCCGCACCTCCTTCTCGGAGGTGGGGTGCCACTGCCTGCAAACCCACACGCATACCTTGTGCCGATGAAGTGGAGTATCCTGGTGCTGAATTCCTCTCAGAAAACAGTGAGCCACTTTTTCACACATGCTGAAGAAGATCCAAGGACACTCCCTCACATTCTTCTCAAGCCATGGACGAAGCCTGCAAGCCACCAGGATTCTTCAAACAGCAGAACACCCTTCCAACGCCTGGAGATGCCCTCAAACGGAGATCGGTCCCCCGCAAAGAGTGGTTTCTCTACCAGGACCCTCCGACAGGTCACCAATAGAGACCTGTTAGGGTCCAACAACCCTCAACTAACAGCCTGGCCAGGAGGGTTGTTTCTCTATATGTTTCTCTCATCTATCGCCCAAAAACAAGACGAGACCTCCTCGTTTCGGATGACGAGACCTCCTGGGGCCATGGTGGGATGAGAGCTCACATCGTCATTGCCTTGATCTTCGGCTTTGTCCTGGGGCTCCTCTTGGGCCGGGCCAGCTTGGCGTCGGAGAACCGTCACCTGGATGACTTGGATTCCTTCAATCAGCTCCTACCGAAGCGCGTGGGCACGCCGCAGCATGTGACCATCGCGCAGGAAATCGCGGTAGCTCCGATCGCGGAGGGAGACCGGGTTGAAAAACGAACAAGGCGTTGTTTGGACGTTTCACATTCAAGAGGTTTGGAAGAACTTGCTCAAAACGCAAGTTTGAAGACAAGACAAAGTGATTCGGAACATTGCGCGGACCGTCCTCGTTTACCCCAGGCACCCGTGTAAAAAAGAAGCAATCTTTTTGAAGCAACCGGTGAGAATGCCTCAAACATTCTGTGCACCGATTCTGATTCTTCAAAATTTGTTGACGAAGTTCTACCTACCCAGCTTTCTTGCAAAAGACCTGCACCATGTCATCGCCAAGGAACCGCTGCAGCAGCGGAAAACCGGGTCCCGTCGTGCAATCTTAAAGATTCCACCCTGGGACCTTTGCCCTCTCGTGCTTGCGTTCTGGCTTCCCAGACTCCGGAAGATGCGGACACCTTGGAGCCTGCGCTGGTCTTTCATCACAATCACAAAGCAGGGGGAACCAGCATCAAGACCGCCTTCGAACGGACCTTGTGCAAGAGTCCGAGGTCTTGCATTTGGTTCGAGGCCAATCGCTCCAAGCTCATCTTGGGTCGAGGCTCGCCGAAGGATGCCGTGAGCCCGGACTATTTGTTCACAGCCTCCATGGAGGAGAGAATGAAGCTTCGTGTGATCGTCGCCACGGACAACTTGTGGACGGGTGTTTGTTCCTTCCTGCCTCGCAGGTGCGTGTACTTCACCACCATGCGAAGCCCGTTGTATCAGCACATTAGCTTCTGGAACTTCCTATGCGTCGCTGGAAAGCAAAACCATTCGGGTTGGAACGCCACGGAGCTCCGCCTGGGGCGCTGCGAGCGGTCCTTGACCACCTGGCCGAAGCCCTTTGTGTATGCGAAGCTGGCGGGCTATCATGGGCCAAGGGCCAAACATTACGATGAGACGACCTTGGCGCTGGAGAAGGTGGAACAAGCGAAAGTGAATCTTGGGAGATTGCTTTAATATGCTTTGATCCTCTTTAGATGGGGGGTTGATTAATCGTTGAATTAGAGACCCACATGGAATTGCTTAAACCACTGGCGTTGTAGAGGATTTTATCGTCTTCCGGTCTGGTCCATGCCTTTTAAGGTTCCATGTTCATCTTCTTCGGTGTAATGAAGAGATGTTGATAGAACCTCATTTTTGGCCGGTGGATATCTCTCTGTCACATGGTTTTTGTTGCTTGATTGTTTCCCCAGACCAGTGCTTGCAGCAAACGAAATCTCTAAAACATGTGGGGCCATTTGGGACAAGAATTTGTTTGTTTGTTTGCGCAACAAACCATGTTTTTGGGCCTCCAAGGAACCTGGGCCATCTATGTTTGTGGCATCTTCAATCTCACTCCCTTCGAACCGGCTTAGTGTCTTGGCGATCGGAGGATGGAGCTTCGATCGGAGATTTCTGGCGGATGGGATTTGCAGATGGGGCGCATCCCTTGGTTCATAACCCAAACACTCCCAGATTAGCCCTTGAGGCCATTGCTCCCGATTCGTCAAACGAATTTTCTCAGGACTCCAAGTCATTCGGGACGCTCATTGAAATTACAGAAACTTGAGGGATAGAAATGATGATGATGATGATGATGATGATGATGATGATGATGATGATGAGGACGACGACGACGACGACGGCGGCGGCGACGACGGCGACGGCGACGGCGACGGCGACGGCGACGGCGACGGCGACGGCGA